TACTCAGAGAGAAAATTACATTGATAAGGCTATCTGGAGCATAAATGGTGATGGAAATATTTTTACAGCCTCTACTTATAAACATTATAGACAGAAGAAGAACACTTCTCCATTCCTCAGCCAAATTATGGGCTAAGAAAGTCCCTTTCAAAATTTCATTTCTCTGTTGAAGAATCATAAAAAAAAGAAAAAGATTCCGCTTGATGACTCTCTACACAGGTTTGGCCTTACTGTTGTTTCTATATGCACTTGTTGTAAGAGTCCAAGAGAGGAAACCATCACCCATGTATTTCTACAGAGTGAACTGCCTACCGGGATTTGGAGAATGGCGGCGGATCCTCTGGGAATTAACCATTATAATTTGAGTATCAACTCTATACTACACAAGTGGTGGAACATTAAGCCTAACAATGCTATCCACATATTACTTTTACATATCACCCATGTTATAGTTCTTTGGGAACTATGGAAGGCACGATGCTCGAAAAAATATGGTCAGAAGTCTATCTCACTCAATAGAGTATGGCATCAAATTCTTTTTCAAGTTAAGGTGTCTTTGGGGAAAAGATTTAGAAAGATAAACTTTCAATGGAACTGGAGTAATGTATGCACTGTGGCTATCAACTACAGACCTAGACTATCTAATATCATGGTGAGATGGAAAAATATGCAGAACAATTCTCTGATTCTACACACTGATGGCAGTTGTACGACCTCTCGGAAGTTAGCTGGAGCTAGAGGTATTGTTAGAAGAAGAAATGGAGATATGATTATAGCCTTTGCTATTCCTCTCCAATTCTCAACTAACAATTACGGTAAAACACAAGCTACACTATTTGGTATTGGCTGGTATTGCGATCAGAACTTATCCAACTTCTCTCTTTGTTTGAATTCTCTCTTGGTCGTTAACTTGATCCAAAGGAAGATCAAACCACCTTGGCAACTAGAAAGTAGTCGGGAACATATCATTGATAGGGTGAGGGAGAGAAATATTAAGGTTTCTCACTGTTATAGGGAAGTTAATATGGTAGCCGATGTATTTGCCAAGCACGCTACCACAATAAATCAAAATATCATTTTTACGCAAGAAGGTGATCTACCTAGAGAAGCCAGAAGAGCACTTAGAATGGACAAGCTGGGGCTGCCAACATTCAGAATCAGACAAGTGAAATATGAAGGATGGAACTTTGCTCCACCATGAAGTTACATGTTTTTTCCTCTATGACCTTGTTCCAGATTTGGACTAGGTCTTTTTGTAACAGTTTTCTTTGAATTAGTCCTTGTCTTCAGCTTGGTTATTAAGGTAGATAGGTATATTCTAAGACTGTTAGTTTTAGTTGGCCTTGATACGGAGGTAAGGTTTATGCCCCTCTTGTTGTACTTCTTTGGTATCTTATACACAAGGTAGGGGTCATTACCAAACTCCTCACCACCACAGGAGGTGAGAGCCTGGATGGATGGCTTTAATAAATAAATAAAAAACATACATGGACAGAGAATTACGTAATAAAATTGAAAGCATGGTATACATTTGTACAATAATTGAACACATAAGTTTGGAGCTATGTATATCAAGTTTCTGTCATGTTTTATCTTATAAACTGAAAGAATTAAGGCACCAAGAAATCATATTTGATGTATGAATTATATAACATTCATCTTTCCTCTTACGTAAGACAAAGCATATTATAAGTAAGTCAAAAGAAATAGATTCCACCTGTACAGATGCATAGCGGCAGTACTAAAAAAAACTTTTAAAAGAAATATACCGGTTGATAAAGTGATAGTAGTATGAATCCGATGTGAGTGAAGGACGAGCTTTAGAGACTCATAACGTATTATAAAATAAAAGCAATGTAGCAAAATAAAGTAACAAGAACAAAAATAATATAAGAGACGAGAGAACTCTTTTCTTTCTTTCACTTCTATGTGTCTTTACCCATTAGATGACAAAGCTATTTATAAACCTAAAAAGTGAACTTTCGTTCTATCAACCAGTAAAAGAAATTGGAGTATTTAACATCAAATAGTAAGAGAAATGGGTGTCCATAGATTTTTAAAACATGGGTGCAGCACTAAAGAAAAGGAAAAAAAATACTAAGTGGGAATTGGTATTTGTTTCTTTGGGCAAATAACACAATATTCAACTAAGTGCACTATTCAGGCTTGGTGTAGCATGGGTGCCAACAAATAATATTGGACTAATTCTAAAAAATACATACATAAAATACTTAATTTAGCAGAGAGACCACGAGTTCACGTGCCCCCAAAACTAACCTATACATCCGCCTCTGCACCAAACCTTTGAACAATACCAATATTTCGGCAGTACCAAACATGATACTCAATATTAGAGGCTTGAATATTACTCCCTCCGTTTCAAATTAGATGAGGTGTTTTCCTTTTTAGTCTGTTCCAAAACAAATGACACATTTTTAAATTTGAAAATAATTCAACTTTAAACTCTTCATCTTACTCATTTTACCCTTAATGAGGATCTTTTATACCCACACAAATATTATGGCCCCACAAAGCTTTTACCCCTTAAGTTTTAAGACCAGAAATTTCAAAAGTCTTCTTTTTTTTTTTAAATACACTACTACATTATCTAATTTGAAACGGAGGGAGTACTAGACAATGAAGGTGTTTGGTTAAGCTTATAAGCTGATTAAAGTGGCTTATAAGTGTTTTTTATTTTATTTATGCATTTCATAAATACTCAAAATGCTTGTAAGTCAAGCGCTTATAAGTTAAAATCAACAATAAATCATAAGTTGGTCACCTCCAGCTTATGACTTTCAACTTGTAATTAAACACTCTTTGTTTGACCAGTTTATCGTTAATAATATTTTCTAATTTACAAAATACCTTTCCCCCAAACAAAATTTTTAACTTTCTCTTTATTTCATATTCATTGTTCATCTTCTTCTTTTTTACGAAGAAACTTTTTAATTTATAATCTTTTGTAAAGTTTTTAAGAGTATTTTAATCAATCTAACAAAAGAACTGTTTATCAACACTTTTTTACATCAACTGATTATTATCAAGTTCATAATTCTACCCTAATGCAAAAATACTTATTTAAAAAAATCAATTTCAATACCTAAAATAACTTATTAGCATTCAAGCTTATCAACTATTTACAATCAGCTAAGCTAAATAGGCTCAATATCTTATCTTTTTTTTTTGGCTTATTACTCGCGGTCAGTTCAGAGTTATGCTCTATAACAACTACTACTCCCTCTGTTCCAGTTTATGCGAACCTATTTCCTTTTTGGTCTGTTCCAAAAAGAATGAACCCTTTCTAAATTTGGTAACAATTTAGCTTAAAGTTACAACTCTACCCTTAATGAGAAGCTTTTATAACCACACAAATACTCTGGGCCCCATTTGGACTTGTTTAAAATAGCACGGTATAGCCAGTTTTCGGACTGGTCAATCAAAAATAGCCACCGTTTACGAAGTGAATGAAAAATAGCCATTATTTTGCTGCAACAGAGATCGGTCCCGTATAATATACGAGAGTTCAGTGCATCTGTGTACGAACTCCAGCATATTATGCTGGACTGGTATACTTTGCTGACTCCGTATAATATACGGGAGACTAGAGCACCGGTGCTCCAAACTCCAGGATATTATACTGGACATTTATACTTGCTAGAACTCCCGTATATTATGCTGGAGTTCTAGTGTACTTATGCTGGAACTCCAACATATTATGCTGTAGTTCCAGCATAGTTATCCTGGAACTCCCGTATAATATGCTGGAGTTCAAGCATACTTATGCTGGAACTCCAGTATAATATACAGGCGTATTTTTCGGGTTTTGAACAGTGTTTTCGCTCAGATTTATCTTCACATGAAAATTGGCTAAATTTCGATTACTTTTGAAACTGTGGCTATTTTTGAATGACCAGTTGTAAATCTGGCTATTTTTAAATTTCTCCCTTTTTTTCTTAAACTCTATGTCCAGTCAAACAGGTTCACATAAATTGGTAAGGAGGGAGTATAATAACTAAGCACGAAGGTTACGCTCATTGTGCTCGTGTTTGCCACGCTCATATGTTTGTATTCTTGAAGATAATAATTCATCTCTTTCAAGAAAATCATGACATGTCAAACCCTAGTAAGGTTCTTCGTTTACATCGACTTAACCATATATTCACCTCTTTTGTGGACCCTCGTACGTCTTCTACTGAGGTTTTATCAAATCAAGATCAGATGTCCTTCAATGGAAGCAGTATGTAAAACAACAGTTGCTCAATTCCACCATCAGGTAAGGGATATGCTTGCTTCCCAAAGGGGTTGAGTAAGACCCTGATTGGTTAGGTACGGACTTTGGAGTCTGGATAACTTTGAAATTTTCCCTCAAACCATAAGCCCAAAATCACCTAATACTACATGACAGGTACCTCTTACCTTCTTCCAAATATGAAATAGGGGCCACGTGCAGGTGACCAAAAAATTCCATCATTATATATTTTTTTAGATTTTCAGTTCTCAATGTTCCCACTTGTGTGACTAGTTTAATTTACCCTAGGATCCATATATTATATAAGTGAAATAGCACATGGCCATCAAAGCCATTTCATGAAATCTATGAGCCCAACTGTGATAAAATATTCCATATTACTTCTATATTCAACGAAAGCTCTGAAAACTATAACAGCAAATATTAAATTTCAAATTACAGTAGTAAAGAACCCGAATTATACTGGGTCGTTGTTGTTATAAATTACAGTAAGTAAAGATATAAAGTAATCATGGTCAACGATCTCAGATACAAGGATGCATCTNATATATGTGTGTGTGTGTGTGTGTTTCAGCTTCTACGTCGACAGCATTGTTTATGATACTTAACACAGTTGACAGTTTCCTTTTCAATAACTATTTGTCATTTCGAGTGAAAAGAAAAAGAATCGAGTTTATTACCACTTATTAACGAACACAGTTTCACATATAAACTGTATGTATTACTCTACATGACTATACGACAGCGAGACAATTAAAGCAAGCATCTATATTCAAACGAAAGGCAACACTGTTTTTGGAATTAATGCTACTCCAACATTTAAGAAAAATGTACCTTTTCCAGGAATAAACTGTGTTCTTCAAAACTCAAAAAGGGTCTTGACGAATAGAAATTTTGGAGTAGGAAATAAAGTCTAAAAGAGAGCTGATACCTACAAACTTTAAAGTTCAAGTTGAAAATACTCATTTCTCTCTGCTACTATATATCTCTCATTTCTCTTTGTACATCATAATCTCTCTTCTTCTATCTCCTGTCTCTCTTTTTATACGCTGGTATATGGCATCAATTTGCTGCAGTTAAAAGGCATAGACAAAGAAAGGTTAGAGAAAAGGCACCAAGTATGATCCAGTCTAATGTGGATGATGCTACATTTGCATTTCATAATTATATCATGATTCAATATTTTTTTCAAGATATATTGTTGGATGATCTATTGTTTTTCCAGTTTGGCTGCCGACTTACAACAAACCCCTACCCATTACCGGAGGCATTTTCAACATCAGCTTTATTTCACACTGACTACCAAATTCGCACTGGTCCAGAACACATAAATTAACCAATAGTATGTCAAGCTATTAAAGTATTTCACTATTTGGCTATGAAATGACAATCATTTATTTAATATTTGCTTGAACTGACTAAAAAAAGAAACCAACAATTAATGACAAAGAAGGGATGAAAACTTTTCATACATAAATGCAAGCCAACCATGTGTTTAGAAATCTCAATCCACAAAAGGACTTACTATATTTAAGGTAGGAAAATGCAAGGGAAGAGAAAGAAAAGGAGAGACTTACCAAGATCAAAAATGTATTTAATAAAGCTTTGTCAGCACAGTACTGAAGACATCAACATGAAGGACCGACGCTCCTTCCCTCCTCTTCGCTTTTGGCTCTCTGTTGCTGCCTCGGGGTCTCTGGTTGCTGCGGCGTCTGATGCTGTTGTTGCTGCAGCAACAGCTGTGGCTGAAGATGAATCTGCTGGTGATGAGGATGATTTTGCTCCTGTTGCTGTGGCTGCTGCTGCTGAATCAGATTATAAGGATTATTCTCATAGGAGCCCAAAGCCAACGAAGCTGATATGGGTGAAGAATTCATTTGGTGAAATCCAGTAGCAGTCACTGAGCCTGTAGAGTCAAACCCACTGTTAAACCTTACAATATCTTGTTGCTGAGGATGCTGCTGTTGTTGCTGTTGCTGCTCATAATTCCTAAGCATCTCCTGTTGTTCCCTTGCAGCCATTGCTGCTGCTAACTGCTGAGCTTCAATTGTCTGCTGCTGCTGCTGAGGGTCACGGATCATTAACTGACCACCATGAGGGACCCCAGTTGGCATTCCTAACATTGGGTTCATATTCAAAGGCATCATAGTACTAGAAGATGGATTATTCATATGATGCGGTTGGAGAAACCCTTGAGGTTGAAGAATCGGTAGCATTGCTGATGGACCAATGTAGGTTGCTAATTCCTTTTTCGCATTCAGTAAATCATCTTGAACTTGCCTAAGCTTATGTTGAAGCAATGAAATAAGGCCAACACAACCATAGACTGGGTCTCTCAGGCGATATTCAGCCTCATAAGCAAGGGAATTCACAGCATCTTCCCTTTGAGCAGCATTGAGTTCGTTGAGCAATTTAGCCACGTTACTAGCACCGAAGACTTTGTGGACATTGGCAAATTTCTGCGGCTGATCTGGTGGAAAATATGGTGCAAAAACACACTCTTGGGTGCATTTTCGGCGTAAGAATTTGCATGCTGCACACGGAGAATTTGACGACGACATCCTTTGGTTCCTAAAAATTGTGTACACATCAATGCCACAAAACACATAAAAAGATTTTAAAGAATTAGTACTAATTATAAATGGAAGAGAATATATGGGTGTTTGCACTCGTAAATATGCTAAATCGATACAAGTAGAGCAAAAATTAGTCAAGAAATGATTATTATACACATAGAAAAATAAAGAAAGGATATGTGGCATTCAACGAAGTTTCATTTACCGATCATAAAGAAGCTGTAAGACATTAATGGCTTAGCATGTCGAAGTGGACATGGTAAGTTAATATAATCATATATACAGTAAGACCTTTTCTTTTCTTATTATTTCATTTTCATTGTTATAATTAAAGGAAGCCAGAAAGCGTAAATATAGCAACTGTAGAGTGACATAGAAACATATCGGAAGTGTTTGATCCGATTTTTCCGAGAAACCCCGGAGTCATATTAAAAAGTTTAACGATGCCCTTAGCCAACAAAGAAAAACAATAAAAGTATATAAAAATAACCAAAAACAACACAAAATAAAAGCCAAAAAAAAAAGGAGGAAAAAGTGAAAAACCATAAGATAGCAAAGATCAGACTAAACTTGCAGTGTATCACAAAAGATGCCAAGTTAGCGAAGGAGACTTGAATGAAAACAAAATTTCACCTCACTCTCGCTTTTCTCTCTCTAACTTGATAAACTTGGAATGCAAGAAATCTTTTGTTTACGGATCTTTCTAGATCAAGGACTTCTTTTTTATATCAAAATATCACATTAATGGATTCTCTGAGATCCTTCCTTATCGAACCAGCCAAGAAAAAGATCAGAATAAAACAAAAACAAAAAAGGAACCCAATCAAAAATCAAAAGACGAGTTCAAAATAGTAAAAACAAGACGATAAAATAAAGAAAAGAGTACAAACAAAACGTGAAATCAGAAAATTCATTTACCTTTCTTATGTAGCAAACCCTATTCAGATCACTCCGTAACCCTTTTCTCTCTCTTTCTCTTTCTCTCTCTCCCTCTCCTCAACTCAATTCATCTGCAAAACCCCAAAAAAATGGAGTAAACAAAGAATGAGGGCTGAAACCTTCGATGTGAGTAGAAAAATCGACATCTATAAGCCGTATAAAATCGAAAAAGAGGAAAAAAAATAAGGGAAAAAATGGATAACGAAAGTATACAAAAGAAAGGAGTGAACCTTGGGATGAGCGAGTGGAGGTTTAGGGCTGGAGTTCGAAAGCTCTTGATCCGATCTTCAAGTTTCACGATCCCAGTAGAAGAAGTAAAACAATAACAAAGAAGAAATGAGAAAACCCAGCTATTCTTTTTTTATAGTTTCATCATTGAAATGAGAATGAGAGAGAGAGAGATATAGAGAGGAGTGAAAATAAATGAATGGAATGATTAAAAAAAGTGATTATCAGTACCATGGAATAGAAGTCCACGTAATCTAATTATATGAAGGGTAGAGTTTGTAATTAAATCCTTTTACAGGGGTTAATAATAAGGAATAACCCCCTTAACGGCATACCTTCTACTATTGACCGTCCATGTGATCGGAAATACAACTTTGACCGTCTGATCCTTTGCCCCGAGTGATGAATAAATGCGACTCTGTCGAGGAAAATTAAAATAAATGCAACTCTGAGTTACCTCTTTGTCCCTGCGATAATTTCATCCATTTCCTAAATTACCCCTACACTGAGGGGTGTGCTTAGAAAAACGACTTCAACTTGCATAGAATCACAAAACTTCCCTCACATTTAATTACTTGCTCTAATGTTTAACATCTCAAATCTATTGTAGATTTCTTGGCTATAATTCAATTGCTTTGCTGTTAAAACTATCAAATTACTCATTAAAAATGTTAACAGACCAATATAATCTTAGTAACTAAGTTAACCTACAGAAAATTTATTTTTAAGTCTCGCATAAAATTTTACATATTATTTATTGCGTTAAGTAATTCGCGCAATACTTCACAATAGAACTACAAAGCAATAGTACTACTTAACGATGAGTTCTTGAATTACAAAAATCCTAATAATGGTATTGCAAAAAAAAATATTGGAGATAAAGATCAAATAATTGTGAGATAACATTTGAGATTCACAAGATTATATTATAACAAAGCACCAAATTTTGAATTTTGAATTGAGGATCAAAATCTTCAAAACTCTAGATAAAGGTACTTTTTGTCTCGAGCCTTAAATTCCATTCATCTAGTTCACGAGCAGTATTAGACTATAGCAAAAATAAATTTTTGTATGTACTTTTCAGTTTTAAGAGAAGGAGATCAGTCTTTTCCTTATATACAGGCCTCTTGACAGCAGGGGCGGATTTAGGGGCGGAAGGGCCCGAACCCTCTTCGCCGAAAAATTACACTATATATATGGTAAAATTTATTTTTTACCTCTATATATTAAGTTTTGAACCTCTTTGACATAAATCAAAAGTGTAGTTTAGTGGTCAAGAGGATTCAAAACCTTATTAAGGTCATAGGTTCAATTCCCACTAGCTACAAATTTATTTTTTTGAACCCCTTCGTGGATATCCTGCCTTTGCCACTGCTTAACATATAGTACAATCGTTAATTTAGAATAAACAGTTTTCAAAATGTAAAATAGATCAGCTTAAAAGATACGTACAGTATATATATGGTTTGAACACAACTCGTTTTTCTGTTTGTGATACTATCAGAAATTATAAAATCTTATATTAAACTTCTTAACTTATCGAGATATGTACTACCATTTAAATGATTCTAATTTCTAAGCATATCAGCCAGGACTCTATCTGTATTCTTGGGTTTAATTAAAATTCAAACTTGAACGGAGAACTCCTCTACTACGGGTTCATTGCTCTTGATTTCTCGTTTTGTGTATCAATAAAAAATGTTCATCTAATATTTATCCTTCAAACTTGTAGTAAATTTTCTACAATCATTTCACTTCACTCTATTTTGTTTCCATTTAATTTAAAAAAATTGAAAATAAATATACTGACATTCAAAAAATGATTTTATCTAAGTATACTTTCTATTTTTGGTTCATCAGTACATTTTTACGCATTACTGAAAATATTATAAGTAACAACACAGCAATGACTAAAACTCACAATATTAGTTGATTTTTAGTAGCAATGTTTAATGATCACAGAAATCGATCAAAATGTCGTCGAGGTTAAAAAAGGGAAAAAGAACTTTGAGATCCCCTTGTTACCATTTGTGTTAGAGGTTGCGTTCACGTGGCACGTAGTAGCGGGATAAGAATTTTTATTATGACATGTTAAAATATAAAAAGGAAAACCTACAAAAAAGTTAAAGGGGTCAATAGTATAGTATATTTTTTTTTTTACCTAACTATCCAATATAATTTTTGGACCAAGAGATATCAACTAAGACCTCTTTGTTACGAATAGAATTCTATTTAGAGTGAACGTCTATCTTGTAGAGAGTTTTACTTTGTGGCTAAGTCATTTTGCCCTATAAATAGAGGGGTCTTACCCCATTGTAAATCATCCCAAAATTCAATGAGAATTCTCTCTCTCTTTCTCTGCAATATTGTTCTTCTACTTTTATTGTTTTATCACACGTTATCAGCACGAGACTCTACTGTCTCAAGAAGATTAAGGTATAACTTTTCTCCTCTTTTAATTATGACTGGTATTATGAAAAGAAGTTCGTTACCCTTGAAATTTCGGACAAGAACTATATGACATGGGTGTTGGATGCTGAAATCCATTTAGATGCAATGGGTCTTGGAGACGCCATTAAAGACAAAACTAAAGCATCCACCCAAGACTGCGCTAAGGCCTTGATTTTCTTGCGCCATCACCTTGATGAAGGGTTAAAAATAGAATATCTCACAGTCAAGGATCCACTTGTTTTGTGGAATGGCTTAAAGGAAAGATATGATAACTTAAAGTTGGTCACTCTTCCACAAGCACGATATGATTGGGCTCATCTGAGGCTCCAAGACTTTAAGTCTGTTTCTGAATATAATTCTGCAATGTTCAAAATTACTTCTAAATTGAAACTCTGTGGAGATACTATCACTGATTATGATATGCTTGAAAAAACGTTCACAACGTTTCATGCCTCCAATACGGTCTTGCAACAGCAATACAGAGAGAAAGGTTTCAAAAAGTACTCTTAGTTGATTTCTCTTCTCCTTGTGGTTGAGCGAAATACTAACTTGCTCATGAGAAATCACGAAAATCGACCCACTGGGTCTACACTATTGCCTGAAGTGGATGAGGTGTATTACCATTATTCTAAGCGTGAAAATAGTCGTGGCCCTATTCATGGTCGTGGTCGTGGTCATGGTCGTGGCCGTGGCTATGGACAAGGAAGAAATTTTCCTGGTGTTGATCACCCCCCAAAGAAAAATAACCACCAAAAGTGGAAAGGGAAAGATGAGAAACCAAAGGCAAATAGTTCAGAAACTGAATGTTATCGTTGCGGTGGAAAAGGCCATTGGGCAAATATTTGTCGTGTACCAAGACAATTGGTTGAGCTTTATCAAGCATCTCTAAATAACAAAGGACCTGAAGCTAATTTTGTCTATGACAATGATTTTGACATCACCCACTTGGATGTGGTAGACTTCTTTGAGCGCCCTGATGGGAAAATAGACCATTTGATCGGTGATGGATCCGTGGTTAAAGATGATTGAGTAGTTTAATTTTTATTTTTGTCTATTCATAGTAGTTAGTGAATAAACATCATGTAATCATAGCTCTTTACATGAGTAGTAGTCATTAGTTTTATTTGTTTTATAAAATTGTGTTAGTTCGTTTTGATTAAATGTAGTCCTAGTATTCGTTGCAAACGATGTTTCAATTTATTTAGTCTTCAAGGATTAATATATTATTTATTAAAGTAATTGTGATGTGAAAAAAAATCAGTTACTGGAGTTGAATAATAGATGTTAGTTCTGCCTTGTTAAAGTAAGTCTTTTGAAAGTTAGTTCTGCTTATTTATTTTTATCGAGAAACGAAAAAATAATCTAGCGAAAACCGGAACTTACAGATGTAAGATGTACGATAGCAACTCAATTAGTGAATTACTACCCTTGTTATCAATTATGTATAATTGATTATGTGTATAAATTAATAGAAAAAAAAATTTCACAATTGTCCAAGTAGATGCTTTCTCTTTTTTTGATTGTTAAGGTATAAGGCGTCAATCTACATAACTCGACCATGTGAATTTTCGTAATGGTCACGCGAATTTTATTTATTTATTTTCACTTCATTTCATAGTCCTGATTTTGGAAGTTTCGGATTATTGAAATTCTGTGAGATAAAAGAACAATAGTGAACAAGCCGATTGTAATTCGGAAAAATATGCTGCACTTTTAATAGTTGTGTTCAAGCAAATTGTTTGTAAGCCTACTTTATTTCTCTAAAAATACTAATGTTTATTCGTATATTTCTTTTGTATGTCAAACAATGGGAAGCAAATATGGATATTTCACAAAGCAAACTTGGATCAAAGTTCAATTGTAAAAATATTTATTTAATTGATTCATGTACGACACATACAATATTCAAAGAGAAGAAATATTTTTCTCATTTAAATATGTGTAAGGCAGATGTTACTACAATTTCTAGTAGTGGTAAATTAATTGAAGGCTCTGGAAGAGCTACTATAACTCTGCCTAAGGGAACAATACTTATCATAGAGAATGCAATGTTCTCCTCCAAGTCCAACAGGAACTTGTTGAGTTTTAAAAATATCCGTCGAAATGGATATCATATTGAGACAATAGATGAGAATAATCTTGAATATCTCATCATTACCAAGAATGTCTCTGGCCAAAAGAGGGTTATTGAGAAGTTTCCATCTTTATCTTGTGGCCTGTATTGGACAAGAATTAGTGCAATTGAGGCACATTCTATTGTAAACCAAAAGGTTAGTGATTACAATACTTTTGTACTTTGACATGATCGATTGGGACACCCTGGATCGATTATGATGAGACGAATTATAGAAAACTCAAATGGGCATCCATTAAAGAATTTAAAGATTCTTTTAAATGATGAATTTTCTTGCACTTCTTGTTATCAAGGCAAGTTAATTATTAGACCATCACCAACAAAGGTTGGAATTGAGTCCCCTGCGTTTTTGGAACGTATACAAGGGGATATTTGTGGACCTATTCACCCACCTAGTGGGTCGTTTAGATATTTTATGGTCTTAATAGATGCATCTTCTAGATGGTCCCATGTGTGCCTATTGTCATCTCGCAACCTCGCGTTTGCAAAATTAGTGGCACAAATAATTCGATTACGGGCACAATTTCCCGATAATCCAATTAAGTCTACTAGACTTGATAATGCTGCTGAGTTTTCATCCCAATCATTTAATGATTATTGCTTATCAATTGGGATAAAAGTGGAACATCCTGCAGCTCATGTTCACACTCAAAATGGTCTTGCAGAGTCTTTAATTAAACGTCTGCAATTGATAGCAAGACTGTTACTCATGAAAACTAGGCTGCCCACTTCTGTTTGGGGTCATGCCATTTTGTATGCAGTAATGCTAGTTCGTCTCAAACTGACAAATTATCATAAATATTCCCCATTGCAACCAGTTTTGGGTCATGAATCTAATATATCCCATTTATGAATTTTTGGATGCGCAGTATATGTGCCTGTATTACCGCCATATCACACCAAAATGGGTCCGCAAAGAAGGTTAGGAATATATGTTGGGTTTGAATCGCCCTCCATCATTCACTACCTAGAAACATTGATGAGGTATTTGTTTACTGCACAATTTACAGACTGTCGATTCGATGAGACACTTTTCCCAAAATTAGGGGGGGAAGTTGGTGAAAACAAATGAGAAATTTTGTGGAAAAATCCATCATTATCTCATCTTTATCCACGTGCCTCTATTTGTGAAAAAGAGGTGCAAAAGATTATCCATTTGCAAATAATCGCAAATCAAATGCCAAACGCGTTTACAGATTTGAAAAGGATAACAAAATCACATAGCCCTGCAGAGAATGTTCCAATCCGTATTAATGTCTCTATTGGACAATCTTCTAGTGCCATAGCTAATGAGTCAAAAGCATGCCTAAAATGTGGAAGACCATTAGGTTCCAAAGATCGAAATCCTAGAAAAGGAAAACAAATGATCAAAATGACACTATGAAAGAACCTCATGAAGAAATCCACGATTTAATAAATTCTGAGATTCATGAGGAATCCACTAAGCCCGAGGCTCAAGAAAATAAGGAATTATCAATAAATCCATCGATATTGAGACAAAGTTGAATCAAGTGGATATAGTGGTGGATTGCAGCTAGCATTATGCAAGAAAGTGAGGATCTTGAACCTCAATCTGTTGGAGAATGTCAACAAAGACTTGATTGGCCAAAATGGCAAGAAGCAATCCAATCAGAGTTGAACTCACTTGCAAAACGTGAAGTTTTTGGGCATGTAGTCCAAACACCTAATGGTGTTAAGCCTGTTGGCTATAAATAGGTTTTTGTACGCAAGAGAAATGAGGTACAAAGATATAAGGAACGCCTTGTTGCACAAGGATTTTCACAAAGGCCTGATGTCGATTTTGAAGAGACATATTCACTTGTTATGGATGCTATAACTTTCCGCTATCTCATTAGTTTTGCTGTCCATGAAAAGCTTGATATACATTTAATGGATGTGGTTACCGCCTACCTTTATGTCTCACTTGATAATGAGATATATATGAAAATTCCCGATGGATTTAAAATGCCAAACGCAAATAATTCAAAGTCCCCGAAAATGTTTTCAATCAAATTACAAAGATCATTGTATGGTCTAAAGCAATCAAGACGAATATGGTATAATCGTCTTAGTTTTATTAAAGGAAGGCAATATAAATTATTCCATTTGCCCATGTGTTTTTATAAAGAAAACAACATCGGAATTTGTTGTACTTACCGTATATGTTGATGACATAAACCTTATTGGAACTCCTATAGAACTCCAAAAGGCAATTGATTATTTAAAGAAGGAATTCGAGATGAAAGATCTCGGAAAGACAAAATTATGTCTTGGTTTGCAAATTGAACATTTGGCAAACAGAATTTTTATTCATCAATCTGCCTACATAAAAAAGGTATTGAAACGGTTTTACATGGATGGAGCACATCCATTAAGTACTCCGATGGTTGTTCGATCACTTGATGTGAATAAGGATCCATTCCGACCTCAAGAAGAGAATGAAGAGCTACTTGGTCCTGAAGTACCATATCTTAATGCAATTGGTGCACTAATGTATCTTGCTAATACTACAAGGTCTGACATAACTTTTTCAGTTAATGCCTTAGCAAGATATAGCTCTGCTCCTACAGGGAGACATTGGAATGGAATCAAACACATATTGTGGTATCTAAAAGGGACTACCGATATGGGCTTATTTTATGGAAATAATTGCAGTCCTGATCTGGTTGGTTATGCTGATGCTGGGTATTAATCTGACCCACACAAGGCTCGGTCTCAAACAGGTTATGTATTTACCTGTGGAGGCACTGCCATATCTTGGCGATCGACTAAGCAATCAATTGTGGCTACTTCATCTAATCATGCTGAGATAATTGCTATTCATGAAGCAAGTCGAGAGTGTGTGTGGTTGAGGTCTATAATACATCTTATTCGAGACAAATGTGGTTTGAAATGTGACAAGTTACCCACAATTTTGTATGAAGATAATGCAACATGTATAGCTCAATTGAAGGGAGGATTCATAAAAGGAGATAGGACAAAGCACATTTCACCAAAGTTATTTTTCACACATGATCTTCAAAAGAATGGTGATATCAATGTGCAACAAATTCGTTCAAGTGATAATATGGCTGATTTGTTCACAAAATCTCTACCAACGTCAATCTTCAAGAAGCTAGTGTACAAAATCGGGATGCGAAGGCTCAAGGATGTGAATTGATGCTCTCATCAGAGGGAGTTAATGCGCGTTGCACTCTTTTACCTTACAAGGTTTTGTCCCACTGGGTTTTCCTTGCAAGATTTTTAACGAGGCAACCAAAAGGCATATTATTAAACATGTGTACTCTTTTTCCTTTTCTAAATTTTTTTTCCATTGGGTTTTATTTTAGTTAAGGTTTTAATGAGGCACATTACTTATCGAGTAGACATTCAAGGGGGAGTGTTATGAATAGAATTCTATTTAGAGTGAATGACTATCTTGTAGAGAGTTTTACTTTGTGGCTAAGTTATTTTCTCCCTATAAATAGAGGGGTCTTACCCCATTATAAATCATCCCAAAATTCAATAAGAATTCTCTCTCTCTTTCTCTGCAATATTATTCTTCTACTTTTATTATTTTATCACACTCTTGAATATATGTGGATTTGCCACTGGGGATACGTGTTGTGGCTTTTCTTTAACGGGAGGCCGAGGAAGAAATAGAGATGAGCCGCTAAACCAAAAAAAAAGAGAGAGAGAGAGATGAGCCGCAAGGGGAAAAAGGGATCAGTAAATTAAGTGGGGACCTAATGTACGTTGGTGTTTGGGGGAGACAAAAAGGAAGGAAAGGATTGACTTTTGAGTGAGTGCACGAGGCATTCTTGGGATGCTTAATTATTTTCTACCATTTTAATTTATGTGAACCTGTTTGACTGACACGGAGTTTAAAAAAATGAAAACTTTTGGAATTTGTGGT